CAAGTAGCGGAATGCTACAGAGGTAAACAAACAATATCATTTGGAAGAGGATTAATAAGTGTTGACATTCATACAAATGAGTAATCCTGTAAACGTAAACAGAATATTTTATATAGATTTTTTTTAATGAAAACTTAAAATCCTGCATTATTTTCCGGACAACCCAATATATATATATATATAATCTTACTATACTATATTAAAAATCGATTTTATGTACTAGCTTCATACATACTAGTATCTTCAACGAATATCGATACTAGATAAATTTATTATGACCTAGTAAATAAAACTTCAACTTGATACACAAATATTACAAACAAAACAAACAGGTATTGGAACTTGGCAAATCCAGTATTTTTCCTCCTAACATCGATTTTTTGTTTCATTTCGATGTAATGATTTTGACTAACAATATCGATATTTACACATATACTTCGATGTTTCTACAAGAAACAACCTTAGCTAATCGATTCGAGGGAATCGATACATCGACGTTATTACATCGATATATACCGATAATTTACAGCTTACAACCCCAGTGTTTTCACCTAGCTCTCCCGTATATATGTATATAAATATAAATCGATATCTTAATGTATAAAGATGCATCCCCTTTCACTATATACTTATATATAGGTTAAAAATCGATTTTATGTACTAGCATATCTTCAACGAATATCGATACTAGATAAATTTATTATGACTTAGTAAATAAAACTTCAACTTGATACACAAATATTACAAACAAAACAAACAGGTATTGGAACTTGGCAAATCCAGTATTATTCCTCCTAACATCGATTTTTTGTTTCATTTCGATATAATGGTTTTGACTAACAATATCGATATTTACACATATACTTCGAAGTTTCTACAAGAAAGAACCTTAGCTAATCGATTCGAGGTAATCGATATATACCGATAGTTTACAGCTTGAAACCAGNATAGTATATAGGGTATATAATATATATAAGTACATAGTATATATATATATATATATATCCTTACAAAACTGCATGTAGTATGAGTACAAACTTATCACGTAAAAGCATCGATATATATGTTACAGAATTCATACACTGATAGGGGTGTGATAATAAGTCTTATTAAGTTGAAGTACCCATATTTTTGGTATCTATATATCTGGTATCGAGTAACAATCGATATATTTGGTTTCGAATTGAAACATCTATATATTTTGTATCGAGTTTAAACATCGATAAAGTATCGCGAGATAGAAACATCGACATTGGATCAAAAGATCGAGTTGACAAATTGACATATATGTGATATCGAATTGAAACATCTATTTTGTATTACGTTAAAATACTGATATATTTCTTATCGAATTGAAACATCTATATTTCTGGAATCGATGGAACAATCGATGTACATATTTGGTATCAAAATGAAACAGCTATACAGGGTGAATTGCTACTCGTGCTACAAACTTCTCCAGTAGATTCTTCACCCTAAAATGAACAAAAAAGTTCATATTGTCCATGG